TGGATAGAATATAGGTGGGATGATGGGTGGGAGGGGTGGGGTGGGGTGGGGTGGGGCTGGGAAGACAGATGGGTGGATGGATGGATGGATGGATGGATGGATGGATGGGTGGGAGGATGGATGGATGGGTAAATAGGTGGATGGATGGATAAAGGGATGGGTGGATACTTCGGTAGATGGAGGAATGGATGGATGGATGATGAATGTGTAGAGGGAAGAAGAGGAAGCCTCACCAGGAGCCCCAGTAGACTGCAGGTGCAGCCCTGGTGTGAGAGCCCTGTGGGACAGACTCCTGTGCTCCCCAGGGCACCCTACTTCTGACTCAAGGCTGCCCAGAGGCTGCAGCGTCACCATCCACCCCAAGGAGATACGCACATTCTTTGTCCACTTCCGCCAGCAGTAAGACTCTTGGCCGCTGCTGGCAGCGTGGAGCGGTTGGGGGAGGGGCTGGCACCGTGGAGCGGTGGGGGGAGGGGCTGGCACCATGGAGCTCTTGGGGGAGGGGCTGGCACCATGGAGCTCTTGGGGGAGGGGCTGCTACTTGGGCCCTGGTAAGGTGGAGATGGCCCTGTTAGCTTTCTGTGGTGATTTTTAAAATAAAAAGGACAAGCCACGCCTCCCCTTCCTCCCACGTGAATTGAAACTTCTTCCATGTTGGTGTCCCAGAGTGCTGGGGTTACATGCACAACTGCACCCAACATTTTGCTACTTTTTTTTGGTTTTTAATATAGCCTGAATTTTTGAGTGCATTATAAGAAACCAAAAACACCAAGAGCCGGGCATGGTGGCGCATGCCTGTAATCCCAGCACACGGGAGGCTGAGGCAGGAAGAGTGCCTCAAGTTTGAGGCCAACCTGGGCTCTATAGTGAGTCCCTGTCTCAAAAAAAGAAAACCGCTGAGAATAAAGCCACCCACAGACATGAGCACTTCCAGGCTAGCTGGCGCCTGAAGTCCCCTGCCGCGCCACAGCCGGCCTGTAAGGCCAAGACGAGCGGCAGGCAGCTTGCTTTCCACACACCAGGAATATCTACCCATGCAAAGACCCTGCACTGGGTGAGCAATTTGCTAACAGTAATACACTTTACTTGGGGACAAACATTCTGTAAAAGCCATCTGTGCTCACGTATCACGCATGCCATCGGGGAACCGCATCCCCACTGGATTACTTCCTGTGTTCCCAAAGCAGGAAGAGGCCCTAGGCCTCCAAATGATGCAGGAGAAAATGATCTCCCGACCTGACCCGGACGAGTTCGTGTTCTCTAAAACTGAAGAATGAATTTTAGGAACAAATGGAGGCTAAGAACAGAATATATTCATTGGGGGAAAGAAAGCTCCTGTCCAAGAGAGGGACAGGAGAGGGGCCTGAGCGGGTGGTCCTGGGAAGCCGTCTCTTCCAGGGACTTTTATAGAGTACAACCATGTGGGTCTAAGGTGGAGAACATGGGAAGTCACTTAGGTGGGCATGAGGTGGGACAAAACTCTGGTCACCCAGTGAGATTACAAGCACCACTGCTCAGGTAAAATTGATTAGTCCTGGACCAAATGGGGAAGCGAGTCCCAGAGCAAGCGGTCATGAATATAGAGCAGGGCTTTGTCCAGTATCCAGCCCTTAGGGGATTAGTGATTTAGTAGTTGGATTAGTGATTTTTCCGGCTTCCTCAGGGTGATGATCAACCCAGATGCTAATCTTCAGGGAGGTCAGCATTTGTTCAATCTTTGGTCTCTAGGTCTAGACCACAGCAGGAGCATCCGTCTCTGTCACAATTGTAAGGTATCTTGTCTTCTTTGTCATGTCCTTTGAGGGCCTGGCCCTGTCTCACTGCCTATAATATTTCTATCTGACTTAGCTGCCAGCAACACCTGCACCGGGCCCTGGGTACCAACCCCAGCATCCACCCCCTGAAAAGTAAATCTGAGCCAGATGTGGTGGTAAACACCTAAAAGCACTCAGGAGGCTGAGGCAGGAGGATTGCCACAGTTGGAGGCTGAGCTGTGCTACGTGGTGAGTTCAAGGCCATAAACAATGTAGTGAGATCCTTAAAAATAAATAAAGGCACACTGGAGCCCCTCTGCAGGCAGCCCTCCCTGGCTGCTTCCTCCCACCGCACTGCTGCCTGGCGAGTGCATCCTGCCTCGGTGCCCAGAGTGGTACATTGTGTGTTATGAGGCGGCGCCAAGAGAAACAAGACACGATGAGTGGGGCCAGGGAGATGGCTCAGTAGGATAAGCGCTTGACTGGCAAACGCAAGGATCTGAGTTCAATCCCCGGTTCCACCAAAAAAATAAAAATAAATAAAATAAAATAAAAAAGACACGATGATTATAGCTTCAGAGGTCTCACTGGGATTAGCCTCCCTCGAGTGAGCCCCGCGCCTCAGAAGCATCTCACATTTATTGAGGGCTATCGGCAGACTAAGGAATGTGCATCACTACTTTGGTGAACACAAACTACTTTCTCTACCGACTTCCGTCATGTGCCTAACTCCAGGTTTACACAGTGCTGGCTAATAGCATCCCAAGCGGGATCAAAGAACAGCCTGGGCGCCAGCAGGAGAAGCCCTTCTCTGCAGCCTTGGCTCCAGCTTGCAGGAACTTACAAGTGAAACTACAGCTCTCCTCGGGCTCTGTATTGCTCCCTGCTCCCTTGGGACGTTAGGCTTTTGTCTCAGCTATATTTCTGCAGTGGCGTGGAGACCCCATGTCCGAGCTGCGTTTCTGTAACGGAGATCTTTACATCTCGGCTAGTCACTGGCACTACATTTTATCACGTTGTCACCTCAGGACATCTATAAAGCTTAGGTGTTTCAAAATAATGAACTTTGTCTACAACAGTCATATTTCATCATTAAAAAAAATCGTATTTCATCAAAAATGCACCTGTAGGGGGCTGGGAGATGGCTCAGCAGCATAAGCACCTGCCTGGCAAGCACAGGGGTTCGAGTTTGATCCCCAGTACTGCATGCCAAACTGGGCATGGTGGCACAGCCCTGTAATCCCAGCAGTGGGGAGGCTGAGGCAGGAGGATTATTCCAAGTTCCAGACAAGCGTGGGAAATAAAGCGAGCTCAAGGCAGCCTGAGCTGCATAGTAAGACTATCTCAAAAAGACCCCCCAAAACATGCACATGTAGACCTCTAGTGATGACAAAATACAGTGACTGTTTCCATTTTTTGGATTTTATTATGGTCCTGAAGCCCCTCCATCCAGGGCCATGAGCCCTCCGCTAAGCCTCGCCCCCCACCGTAAACACACTCATCCCATCATTCCTGCCACTTTCCGAAGCAGCTGTGAGGTGCGTCCACGCCAGTCCTGCACCAGCTAAGCTCCGGAAGCACACGCCCTGCGGCAGCCCTGGGGTCCTCTCCTGGGACAGAGGTCCTGTTCCTGGAGTTGCTCTCTCATGGCCACCTTGATGCCTTGAACTGATTAAAAACATGGCTGGCAATTTCTGTTACATCATGTTGCTGCAAGTATGCTGGTGCGTGGCTGTAATCCCAGCACTCGGGAGGCGGCTGGGCAGGGAAGTCACCATGTCTTCGAAGCCAGCCTGGGTAGGTGAGTGCAAGGCCAGCCTGAGCTACACGGTGAGATCCTGTCTCCAAACAACACAGTATGATGCTAACAACTGCTAGTGTGACAGGTGGTGCCCAAGACGGGGAGAATGATGTTCACCTGCGCCACACCTGCGTCCAGAACATGCAAGCAGCCCAGGGGCCACGGATGGTGGCATCCCTATGGCTGCGGCACATCCTTACCATGGAATACTATTTAGCCACGAAAAGGAAGGCCCTCGTGTCAACTGCTATGGCTTGGTGGGCCTTGAGACAGCCAGGCATCAAGGACACAGATGTCTAGGAGCAGTGGAGTTTGGGCAGAGGCCAGTGTGGGCCGCTGCTGGGCAGCAGAGAATGGAGCAAGGCCACGGGATGGGCTTCCCTCGGGCGTGGTGAGCCAATCTCGGAGTCAGCAGTGAGGTAAGGGACACGCCGGGCTGCGCTCTGAGGGGTGGGCTTCACGGCATGTGAGCTACATCTCCATTCTAAAGACGGCTTAGACAGTAAACTGAGATCCAAGGAAACTGTGCGGTGCCTGAGGGCTGCAGCAAAGTCCTCCCACCCAGGAAAGACAAACTTGGGAGGTGCCCTGTCAGCGTTTTGTTACCACAGCAAATGCCTGAGGTAAATCAATTTAATAAAAGTGCAAGGCAAAAATGATTAATCAGCAGCGGCTTCAGGGCAAGAGTGGTTATGTGACAAATACAAGAGCTGTTAAAATGGAGCCACTGCCACGAGTATAGCTCCGTGGCCTAAGTGCCTGCCTGGCAAGCACAAGGTCCAGAGTTCAATCCCAGCAACACACACAAAACAATGCCGTCACTTGTATCAACCCTCCCAGAAGATGAGCACAGCCAGTGCCGGGTGAGAAGGCACACGTCTGTGTTCCCAGCACCTTAGGAGGCTGAAGCAGGAGAACTGAGAGTCTCAGCCCTCCCTGGATGACACAGCAAGACCTTTTCAAAATAAAAAAGAGGTATAGCTCAGGGAAAAGGCCCTGGGTTCAATCCCCAGTACACACAAATACAGTACACACACATCGTATCACAATGGGAGTGAACATATATTAAAGAAAAGATAAATATTAAAAGTTGTAAAAAAAAAAAAAAAAAAAGTTGTGCAACCCAGCTAAAGTCTGAAGGGAACTGAGGCTCTTTGTTAGGTGTGCGCTGGGGTACAGCTCAGTGGCACGAGTGCCTGTCTGGCATGTGCAGGGTTCTGAGTTCGATTCCCCACACAAAAGAAAAAAAAAAAAAAAAACGATGCTCTTAAGTGCTATGTTAGAAACAAAGTCCAGGGGCCGGGGAGGTGGCTCAGTGATATAAGTGCCTGCCTGGCAAGGTCCTGAGTTTGATCCCCAGTCCAAAAAACAAAATAAGATAAAAAATAAAATAAATTTTGGCCGGGGAGATGGCAGAGTGGAATAAGCGCTTCCCTGGCAAGCGCAAGGCCCTGAGTTCAATCCCCAGTTCCGCCAAATAAAAAAAAAGAAAAAGAAACAAAGTCCAGGCATGGAGAAGCAAGGGCTGGGGCGTGGCAGGCTGGCAGAGGAAGTGGGCGGTCCCAGCACCTGCAGGCAGCACGCTTCCCAGAGCCCTGCGCTTGTACCCCACGCAACTGCATCTTTTTTTTTTTTTTTTTTTGTGGAACCAGGGATTGAACTCAGGCCCCTGCGCTTGCTAGGGAAGCGCTTACTCCACTGAGCCATCTCCCCGGCCCCCTCGCAACTGCATCTTCTTCTTAAGCACCTTTGCAAAAACCCACGCAGGTTGTCAGCCAGAGGAATGAGCGGTGCGAACGTCATCGTGCAGTTCTTTCTCGGCCACTGTGCTGCTCAGCAGCCCACTCTCACCTTACCGGGAACACTTTCTCCTTTCCTGACTTGTCCCGAACTCACTCTGCAGAGCCTGGTTTTCCCCTACCTTCAATAAATGTAAAACCTTGTGCTCATCTTGACCAATTTTTTGTGAAGGACAGTAAAAACCTAGAAATCACCTCTAGAAGGAGACTTGGAGACAGTGGTGCACGCCTGTTATCCCAGCACTTGGGAGCCTGAGGCAGGAGGATCATTGTGAATTTGAGGCCAGCCTGGCCTACAACATGAGTTCAAGGCCAGCCTGAATTGCATAAGGAGACCCTGTCTCAAGAAGACCAAAAAATAAGGGCCACAGATGTAGCTCAGCAATATAAATGCCTGCCTGGCAAGCACAAGGTCCTGAGTTCAATTCCTGGTAACCGCCCCCACCCCTGCCTGCAAAAAAAAAGACCACTCTGAACTACATAGTGAGATCCTATCTCAAAAACAGCAAAAAAGAAAATCACTAATGAAATGAGTTTAAGAAGTTAAATAGAGGGGCGGGGGGGGGGGAGAAGTTAAATAGAGTAAGACAAATAAAGTAGAAAGGCAATAATAAAGAACAGAAAATAAGCCAAAGCAAACTAACCCTAGAAATGGGGCCTGTAAGGCATGGTGGACTGGACCTTGGCCCTGCACAGAAGCCGGAGTAAGCTGGGTGGGGCCTGAGTTCACACCCCAAGGGAAGAGCCACTGCTTTGCAAGTCCTCACCTGGCGGGAGCCATTGGTCCCCTCCTTGTTCAACATTTTTTAAAATACCTTTAAGTTTGCTCCAAAACTGAGCAGAAAGCACAGGGCCCCCACCTGTGCTCACCCACACGCACACGGGAACACACCGCATGCGGCATCCACACCCGTGCTCTGGCCTGCTGCACTGGCGACACCCAGCGGGGCACACTGCCGCCCCTGCCCCAGGGCCTGTGCGCTCTCCGCTCCTCCCTCCTTGCCAACCCCCGACCTTCTCCTGTGTGCCTCGGTCCCCGCTGCCAGGCCCGAGGCTGGAGTCACGTGGCAGCCACACAGACTGGCTCCACCACTCTGGGTCCCTTTAAGCTGTTGGGTCTTCCCCCGGGTTGAATCGCATCCCACTGCCTGGATTGCCAGTCCAGCCCTCTCCCCTGCAGAAGGTGCGGTGCTGCTCTCTGTAGCAACTATGACTAAAGCTGCTGTGAACACCGACGTGAGGCTTGCATGCAGATACACAGGTTCAGCTCCTCCGGGTATTAGAGGATGCGGTCACCGGCCACACAGGCGTGTGCTCCGTCTTACAAGGAACGGCAAGCAGCTTTCCAGTGCGGCTGGCAGCGTTACCTTCCCACGACTGAGGCAGAGTTTCTATCACTCTCATCCTGGCGTCTGCGTGGCCCATGCGGACCACCTAATAGATGCAGGCTGGTGCCTCATAGCTGTGGGAGCCATTTCTTTCTTTCTTTCTTTTTTTTTTTTAAAGTGTATTTCCATTTTTATTTTAACTTTTTTTTTTTTT